AAAAAAAAAAAAAAAAAAAAAAAATGTTATTACGATATTCATGTTATACAATTATAATCCAGTTATAATATTATTATCGCACTTAAGTTACATTGTACAGGGTTACACTTATTTATTTCTGAACAAAAAAAAAAAAAAAACATACATTTATTTTAAATCAAAACCAATTTAAACCTAATACCTACTAATATCGTTTTTATTAGGATATACATAAACATATTTTTTCTTTTCTATTTACCATTTTTATTTCTATTATGCTGTACAAGAGGGTATGAAGGACTGCCCACGATAATATGATTGGTGGGTGCAGGCGGACAAAATATTAATTATTGTTATGGCCGAAACCACGGCCAGCTCTATCCGAACGCCACGGTGCCTAACGACGAGTTTCAACAAGAACTAAAAATAAAGCTAAACAATTTTGTGTACCTAATATACTTTCATAATATATTATTCTCCGCTAAGGCGAGTCACAATCCCATAGATCCGCGCCACACATAAAATTTCCCGGTCAGTTTCTCGATCACGCGTATCCATCAGTCTTCTTATTCCGTGTTTCGTCTGTTAAACAATATAACGAAATTATTACTAGCGGGCACTGACGCGTAGTTATAGATACATTTTAGAAATTAAAATAAACAAATTAATTTTATTATCTTTACGAAAATACATCACAACACCTAACAATAGATATTTTACGAGTATCTATGTTAAAATAGTTTTAATTGATCTGTAATTATTTGTTCTTCTGGACGTATAATATTATATTATAATTGTAATTAATTATTATTATTATAATTATTATTTATTATAATTATTATTACTATATAAATAATGTATTATGTATTTAACGCATTTTGTGACACATATTCGACTGGTGGTGGAATGTGTGTTATAGTGGCATTAGTATTATTTGTTTGAAAACGACGTGGTATCCTGTGGGAAATTGAATAATAATGATTATTTTTTTTTGGAAACACGAGCCGTGCAATAATAATTTGGTTTAACGATTTAAGATTGTTCAATTCCGAACAGCGGCAGGGCTCAAAAAAAAAGTGTAAAGATAGGTACGCACGAAATAACATTCAAGTTTTTATTATTATTATTATTTTGTTAGCAAACGGAAATTTGATTTGTGTAAGACGAAAATGATTAGGGACGTCGTTTTTAAACATTTCAAGAAAATGATTGATATTATACACAACTGCAGCAGTTCCTGATATTATAATATTATCATGATTGAAGAATGAATACCACATTGGTGTTATTATAATTATTTTGTTTTATTTTTTTTTTTTTTTTTGTAAATTTTTGTCGCCAAACTGTAATATTAATACTATTATATACTTATAAGGGAGCTGCATATACTATTCAAGCTTAAAGTGACACAATGACGTGTCCAATGTAAATATTCATTTTTTAACTATAATAATATTATTATAAATAAAATATACAATGACTACTTGAATATCCTTTTAATTGTTAAATAAAAAAAATTACATAAATAAAATAAGTTCGAAACAAATATTCTGGATTGCGTTTGATTTTGTTTTTATTTAATTCCACTGCAATATCAATTCCTTTATACAGTTAATGATTATGTGAATCGCTGGCATAATATTTTACGGTATACCTTCCACCGTTTTTTTTATTATTTCCAAATAATTTGTTTTAGGTGCATTCTGGTCTATCTAAAACAACGACTTTTGGTATCGCAGAAAATTTACTAACCGTAAATATAGCCTAAAAAGAGAACGTAGCATGTTCAAATAATTTGGTAACTCAATATAGATTGAAAAATTCATAGAGGAAGATCCTAAAAAAAGATGAATTGAAATGAGAGAAGGGGCTTTGAGTTTTAATGTGTAATGTGTAATGTGGAGCCCAAGATAGAAAGAAGTGGTGAATATAATGACGATAGAAACACTTATTAGTTAGTAATTGTGACATTATAAGCAAAAGAAGAATTTTTAATTAGTTGATAGCATATTTTTAAAATGTTTAAAGTTCATACCTAGTTTTGGAACCTAATATTACTAAATATTATGAAAAAAAAAAGTTGACATCAATATTTCTTCCTTTTTTTAGCAAATACGTGTTTATAGTCATAAACAAGCTAAATGAAAAATATTATAGTTCGCCACAGTAATTTTCCCGTAACAAAATAATTTCAATGTTTTATGTTAACCGGGAAACTCGTCGAAGAATTATTATTTTTTAAACTTAGTGAATTGGCTTGTGCTGATGTGAAACTAGCGTAAAAAGCGGTCCGTTTAAATAGCCAATGAATAATAATTTGTATTTAGACCCGTAATATCAAACTATATAATTAGAATTAGATTTATATTTTATACTTTAAACAAGGTTTATCACTGTCTGTATTGACTTTAGTCATTTGTACGGTAATATTTTATCCTATCGAATATTACATTATACATTTATACCTACCTACTATTTATTCTCGAGCCGATGGAATCGAGTAATTTTATAACACCGCCAACCGCGTTTAACATATCGTTATTATTCCACGGTATACAAAACGAGATAAAAACCCAAATATTCGAACTTTCCGTAGTTGAACGGTCGAAAAAGGTTTTTGCGCAAAATGGCGGCAAAACGGTATTATTGTTTGAGAAAAAATAAGAATCAATGCGTATTTGTGTAGGTAATGTAACGGCCGCCGTCCCCTAACTCTCTACCATCCCCCCCCCCTCCGCCGTCATTCCCGCGTTTCAGTCCCACCGAAAACGAGGTCAAGTGCAGTAGGTACGGCTAAAGGAGTAGTTTGCGGTTACCGTTGGTTTTACCGAACATTTAGGCGAATTTCGAATACTTATACCTAAATACGTTTATATATACATATAAACATAATAATATTATATTATTGTAAGTAAGTACTCGTATACATTCAAACCACAACCGACCGGGTACATTTACAGTGCGCCGTATTATATTACATATTATATACACAGTTGCACGGAATTGCAGTCTCGGCACAAACTGAGTGGTGAAATAAATTGTATGCATGCATTTGTATATTATGTGAATGTAGAACCAAACGTTATGTATACTATATACATGTATAACGTATTTTTTTCCATTTTTTTTTTTTTTTATTTTTTTTTTTAAGTAAAAGTATTTTAGCACGTTGTAATATACGCATCACTGGATAAAAAGACCCGTGAAAATGGGCTATATAACGCTTTCAAAAAAAAAAAAAAAAAACTTGGGCACATACAGATATTTTATATTTTATACATAATATTAAACGTCTGATGGAATATACCTACAACACTTTTCTATTGCAGAAAAAAAATTACTTCAATTTCCTCTTTATATAGGTACTACAATTTACAATATAATATGATCCCGCACATAAAATTTTAAAATGAAAAAAGAACTGATTGTGCTGATAGATTTAAAAGGGTTTTAGATATATAATGTAATTTTATTTATACGTTAACGCTTTGAAAAATAATTGCTAAAGATATTCGATTCTGAGTAAAGTTCGAGTAAAAATCTTATGAAATGTCGTCATTTTTAAGATTTTCGTCAAAATTTGAACTTGAAAAGCTTAAAAAAAAATGACTGCAGACTTTTTTTTTGGTTGTTAAATACAACTTATGCTGAACCTATATTTCTTCTTTGGCAAAACGATTTTATTCACATAAAACTAAAGTAATACTAAAAAGACGCCTATAAATATTTTTAAAAAAAAGTAAAATTGAAAATTATACCACTTCTATGGAAAGCTATGATTATTTATTACAGCTGAATTACCGCAAACAAACACAGTTAATAACAATGAAACTGTTATATTTATAAACTTTTCGGTTATTCCCTATTATTAAATTAATAATAAGAAAAATAAAAAATCGGTTTTTCAATTCACAAATTCGGTCTATGAAGCTACCAAATAAGCTATCTTCTCATTTTTTGATTTGATCAAGATTTCTGCTATAAATATTATTTAGAGACAGAAAATATAAAAAGCATACATACATACAGTGGCGTGGTGAACATTTATAAACCATGATGCACAGCATAAATTTCAGTACACACCCACCCATAACCCCTTAAATATAGTATAAAACACGTAATTGTTATAACTAAATGTAATTGTTGTTTTATACTATTTCTTACCTTAATGTAATCACCCACCCAGTCGCACGCCCACCCCTCCCCCAATTTTTCGTATCATGACGCCCAGGTGTCAAAATACAACTTGCATACACCCCATTGCATTTATACATACATGCATGCATACATATACACATACATGAATAAAATATACATATACGTAAAACCCGTACATTCCACGTCTCATTCAGAATCTAAAACAAATAAAGAAAGTTTCAAAGTTAATAAATTTATTCGTGTTACACTTAAAGTGTTATAAATACAATATGTAAATCCAATTTTTTTTTTCAATCATTGTTATACAATCATATATTTCTTATCAAAGTAATTAAGTATTAATAAAAATATTAAGGATGAAATAATTTTTTTTTTTTTAAATCAATCGTCAAATAAAAAACACATTCTTAATAGATTTACTAAGAAAAAATTTGCCGTCCCTGATATAAATACAGATTGCAATACATAATATTTTTTTTGAAACCGTTAATATGCACAACTATTAACTTCACGTTAATTTTAATTTGATAAATCGATAATCCAAATTCCTTTGGTTAAAAACTATATTGTTATAACTCAAAGACGGTGAACCCGATTAAATTATTCTGCATCTCACAAATACAATCTATTCGATTATATATTTAAAAGAGCGGTTTTTATTTGAAAACTCAAAATTTATACTCATTTTAGATACAAGAAATATACTTAATAATTTGAAAATAATGTTAAAATAAAGGTTAAATGATTCCATAATGATTTAAAATAAATAAATCTGATTCACTTAAAGTCCACCAATAAAAATCGACGAATCGTGATAAATGGGTGACCCTGTANGAGTTACCAATCAAAACTAGGGATTTTTGATTTTCTTTATAAAACTACGAACTATTAAAAAATACTATGTTAAAGTAATCATTTTTTTTTTTTTTTTTTTTATGGTAAGATAAACGTTCAACTTATTTCCTTGAAAGATCAATAATGTAAGGTCTAATTCAATGTGCATAAATTGTTGTTAAACTATAAAGTTTTCGTCGTTCATTTAGGGATTTGGTTAGTCTAACAATTAGATTTTGCGAACTTTTCCTTTATATATATTTGATAGGATATCGAATCGCAAACGACAATAACGTTAACTCGGGAGACAGTAAACATTAAACAATACCAACATTTGACGTAGTGGAATAATAATAAAAATAAATAACACACATATAATCATCGAACATTTGTATTGTTTTATTTGGATTTAATTGGCAAAGTTTTTAGTTAAAAAAAGAAGTATATTTATGGTGTTCTATGCATACAATTTTAATATTATTTTTTTAACCGTATTTTACAGGATATACACAGGTAAGGTAATATACTACATTTTTCGATAGAATGGCAGTGTATTGTTTAGGATATAATATTTATCTTCAAGTTGGATAAGTAAAAAAATTTAAATGTTTAAAGTAACACCTCTTTCGGATTCATTAACTTGAAATTAGTCTGAAAAGTTAACTTTAAAATTTGCATACTTCTTTTTAAGGTTTTGATAAGTGTAAAGGTTGACAAAACGTATTTTTTCGTTTTTTCGTAAGCAATGGATTATCTTTCCTTAAAGGTGTACATTAAAATATCTATAACAGTGGCTACATTCTTCTCCGTTATCCCCGGACGTCTTTTTATGTTTATTATATGTATTTATTTTTCCGTAGACTGTACTATATAATAATAAACTATTAAAATTGTATTTAAAAAAAAAGTATGTATATTATATAAAACAAATTAATTTTCACAATGTATATATCATTTTTTTGTTTTTATCAATTTTAAATGTAATCTCGGGCTTTCGGGATTGGTTCGGGAAAATTTCGATATTCAGGGATTGTAAAAGTATTTGGAAAATGTATTCGCTAAACATAATACATACGTATGAAATTTTTGAACATTTTCATTGGTCTAAACAAACAGAATATCATTATTTTTATTAAAAGTGTAGAAGAAATAGTATGTTATGTAGAATAAACATTTAAGGACATTTAAAGGGATTGGCCAAATATTATAGAATCTCGTGGTGTCTATTGAAATTTACAATAATGGCTTTGAGAAATTATATAAATATTTTCACGATCCTAGCTATATTATTTGTAGGTGTCGTTTATAGCTATCTAACTTGGCTAATGAGAAAAAGTAAAAATATAAACTTTTTCTTTTTTTTAAATAAATTTCAATATTATCTGGGATTTTTTCCAAAAACCGGGAAAAAACATGGGAAAGTCGGGAAAATCCGTGTGAAAAATAAGTACAATATTAAACAAATGTAATTAAAGAAAATGTTCAATGCATATGTAATTATTTTACCATAATAAAACATACATAATATTATTAAGAAAGCAACACTACCAACCGAA